CACATTGTGGTGACCAGCAGTCTCATCAACTGTCTTCACACATTAATCAAATGCCAAACTTTTCTGCACCTCCAACAACTAGCAGCATATTGACTCAATGGTTCAGGGTGCGTACACGTTCTTTAACCCAATCCTCATTCACATCCACAGGCAAGCTGTTTCCAACGGACATGCTGAAGGCCAGCATCACAGCCATCCAACACAGACCAGCCATCCAACACAAATCAAGTTATTAAGAGATAGTTAAGTCAGGACCATTTTTGTCAAAAGAAAAAACTTTATTTCTACTGCAGTATTATATTTGGCGGTATGACTGGGGGCCTCTCTGCCTTTCCGCAGGCCTATGCAGAAAACCTAAGGCAGAGAGACCACATCTCTCCACCCTTCCAGGCTTTTGAAGCATTATTTTATGGGGGGTTTTTTTTCATGTGAAATCAGATTATTTTAAAGGTTGTTTCATAAATGCGTACGACTGAGTTTGTGCTCATACAAAGGTGTAAAGAAGGACTGAATGACTTTCAAACACTGTAGTTATTTGTTATAATGAGGATTTCTTTGTTTTCCTGGCACAAAAGATGGTATGGAGAACAACAACAAAAAACACAACAACAATTATAAAAACAAACATTGGTAGTGTGGCTATCAGCCAAAATGTTATTTGTTGTTTCAACATACAAATAAACCAAAGTCGTGTCATCGTGCTTTCATCAAATTAGAAACATTGCAAAAGTAAAACATTTTTTTTATCTCAAGCGGACCTTGAAAAAGTCTTCCATGCTTTCATCTCGTCACGTCTGGATTACTGTAATCCCCTGTTTTCAGGGCTCAGCCAAAAGGCCATTTCTCGTTTAAAACTCAGCTGCCAGACTCTTAGCTAATTCCAAGAGACAAAACCATGAAACTCCCACCCTCGCAATGCTACACTGGCTACCTGTGAAATATTGAATTGATTTTAAACTTTTACAACAAACCTTTGTGTGTTTGTAGGCTCATTACTTATTTTTTTCCCCCGTTAAAGAGTTTTTCCTGATCAGCTGTGAGGGTCCAAAGGACAGAGGGATGTTATGCTGTAAAGCCCTCTGAGGCAAATTGTGATTTGTGATATTGGGCTTTATAAATAAAATTGATTGATTAATAGATTGACTACCTGATCTACCTCTTTTTTTTTCATCACAGACACTATTAGAATAACTCTACTTTCCATTAAATAATGATTATCTGAAGCCAAAAAAGCCAAACATTCAACTAATTTCTAGATACACAGCTGATGAGGATCAACCATTACCTGCATTTAGCATTGTTTTTTTAGGTCATTCACTGTTAGCATATCAAGCTCTGTATGTCTGTGTGCATCATTGTTCTGGCTCTGGATGTGTAGGGGACAGCAAGTTAGAGGAGAAGTCAAAGACTTTATATTTCCACACGTGTGTCTTCTGCTTGTTTAACAGTTTTTGGAGACAAAATACGCAGAGTTCTCACCTTCTCTCTTGACGCTCACAGGGTTGATCAATCTAAAAAACAGCTACAACAGAAAAGACACAAAAACAGCTAAAGTAAATATACACTTTATTCACATCATAATTATCTTTTTTATTTGTCAATACGATCGACTAGCTCCCAAGTTGTTATTAAGTTTTTGTCATAGGTCTGAGATAACAGACCAGAAAAAAGTGTTCAACAAAGGATGTCTGAAATAAGTCGTCATGTGTTGCATGTACCAGCAAAAAGTAAGTAACTTGATGAGGAGCAGGAGCAGAGCAGTGTAATGTCCAACTAATTTGAATGTGCACATCGCTGTGTTGAGTTGTCTGATCATGAACATGAACACTTACAAGTAGGGCAAGAAGTCAGTGTATATATGACAGCAGAATAATATTATGATTACATGAATATATCATGTTCTCATTCTCCAAATTCTGCCATACAGATGAATTATTCAAATAACAACTAAATAAGCTGCTGAAGTTGTTTTACACATATGAAGAGTTTGGGGTCTTTCCATGCACAACAGTGGAACACAGACGGTGACTTCTGTCATGAACATAATATATTCACCATAATGTGAAACATATCAATATTGTAAAATACCATATTGGTATTGTCATAATGATTTTAACTGCATTGCACAGCTCTTCTTGAAAGTCTGAACCGCTGCATCCCTGTCCCCTAAACAGACATTTTATAAACTACTAATTTGTAACAGCAAATTTGTTGCGAGAACAACATAACAACATAATGCTGGCTGAATTACCTTGTTACCCCTCTATGGTACGGTGTTAGCTCCAGGTAAAATACCCATTTTAGTACTTTTAAAAAGAGCCCTAAGGAAACCAATAGCAATGTTTATATTGTAAAGTCCATGTTGAGGCCCCTTCTTCATCTCATTCCACAAAAAATGGTCTGAAAATGGATTTACAACAGATGAGTAAAGTTAATTTTTTTTTAAAATTTAGTTTATTTGATAATTAAGTACAGAAGTGTATTCACTTTACAAATAAAAAAATATGTTTTATTGAGTAATCTTTTCTGTTTTTCTGAGTATTTTTTTTATTTTTCTATTTTTCATGGTAATTTTTTTTCTATTTTTCTGAGTATTTTTTTCTGAGTTAAGAGAGCAATAGAACAACAGACGCTTTCATTCCTTTCTTGAGAGCTCGATATAATGGAAGCAAACATGACCCGCTTGTTTAGTTTAATCCAGTTTTACTTTGTTTTGGGTTTGAGACACTGGGAGATACTCTTGTCTTTAAGTCATATAGATGGTGTTATCATTAGTTTGTCGACTTTACGCAGGCACCCTCAGAGGGTTAATCATCTTAATAAGAAAAATGTTTCAATGAATGTTTCAGTAAAACATCACTGACATCACATGTCATTTGTTTTCCTACAATGACCACTCTTTTAATACCAGACTGTAAACAACTAAAGCACAACTAATATACATTAAAGGATAAGTTCACATGGCTTCAGTCTTTTCTCGCTTGTTTCTTTTACCTGTTGGTTGGAGAGTGATATCCGGTGGATGCTCTCAAGCCGCCGCCTTCTTCAGTTTTCCTCTGAGTGTTTTGAGTTTGCAAGTTGCAGTGAATCCAGTCTGAACTGACATCCTTATGAAGGAGACTGACCATGGCCGCACCCCAAGTGTGGCACCACTACCTTATCTGGACATTCAAAATCTTTCAACAGAATTCAAAGATTAAAATTAGAAATGAGAGAAGACAAAGAGGCTTTCAGAGAGGTGTCAGATATGAACTCACATGCAAACGTCAGCATGCTTGAGAGGAGACTGTAAGAGCCACTGAAGCACATCTTAATATTCAGTAAGAATATCTGTGTTGGTACATCATAGAGGTTATGATGGTTTTTAGGATTACACAACAGTTTCTGTATATTTTGAATAGTGTATAGCAGTGGACAGTCCTAAAGTTATGTTTGTGTTTACTTTATGTGTCAGAATACAGGCACAAGGTATTCACGCCAGGTGTGGTGCTGAAGGCAGTTTAGTGGGCACGACGGTGGGAGATTGAGGACAATGTCGTGTGTAAAGATGACGTGAAGTTTGTGTTGACTTGGATTATGATAGGTTTTTGACCATGTTTTGCAGTGTTTAAGTATAATTACGGGAATACGATGAAAATATATAGAAACAGGACATGGAGTTGATGTAATTTTGAAAGGACCTGGCCTGTAGGTTTGTTTTCTTTTCTTTTTTTTTGGATTCTCAATAAACCTCATTCAACTTTTTCCCTGCCTTACGTGAGTACTGTGGATGTTAAGACAAGGAACAGAAACATGAACCAGAACCGAGACATCACACAAACTGAATGGCTGAGGAACTGTGGTATGTTGGAACAGCCACTACAGAGACAGTAGAACAGTCTCAGGTTTAGTTGGAATAAAGTAACTGACATCACACTGAAAGTCCTGCATCTGACACATCACCCAAAATTCAGTGATGCAATTACCACTACTTTAATCTACATGTAATCACCATCTTCATCACTATCATCATCATCTTCACGCCCCAAGACCCCAGGCACAAGCCTGAAAGGGATCTTGCATTGAGTTGTGTGTGTGCATACTTGCAGCAGTGCCTGAGGGTTCACCAAAACAGCCCAATAAGATCATCATCAGTCATAACCATACATATTGCATTAACTCTCCCAGTAAAGACCCTCTCACACACAGCGTGGTTTGAGCTGCACTGCCGATGGTTTCAGTGAACACAGTGCAGCTGCATCACAAGCTCGCCAAGTGCTGCACTCATGCTCATAGGTTCATATGTTCATACTAATACATAAATAGTTACACTACTCATTACTCAGTTAAAATATTTCACATATTTTTAGCTGTCCCAACCCAGTGTTAAGTTGATTTGAGTCTTTACTCCAAAGCAACTCATGTTTTTTCCACAGACATGCATTAAGAACAGTTTGGATGTAAATGCACATTTTATGAGTTATGGTAGTTTATGTATATATTATAGATTTTAAACACATCCTCCACACCTCCCTCCTCCTCCGCTCCTGTTGTGTTTACCTGCTCTTCTTTCTCCATGTCTTTCCTTCTCTGTGTTTTGTTCTCACTCTGTGCCTGTTCACTCTTCTGCTCTCTCTCCCTGCCTCCTTGTCTTTCACCTACTTTGCATCCACCCACTTTTCTGACTTTGCCCCTGCCACTGTCACCCTGACCTTTTCCTTTATCACTGCCAGCATCTGTATGACAGACCTCAAGGCCTCTTTGTGAGGAGGAAAGTAGCACATAATGTGAGGCACAGCCGTGAGAGATGAACAACGCCTTCAGTATGGCTCTGCGTCTTTATCAGAAAATTCAAAAGCATTCAAATGAATTCATGCAAAAAAGATTAAAAACAGGGAAGAGGAGAATAGAAGAGTGTTATCTTTAAAATACGTTGAACTGTTTTGCCTACGAGATCCAAACTGTGAAGTGATATTTGTTACGCAGGCACTCCAACATGACAGACAGACAGACAGACAGAGTGGATTCTGAGCAAAGCTTTAATCAGAAAGGACAGAAAATGAATGCTTTACAGAGGCACAGCATACAGTGACATGAGTGCTGTAAATATTGACGTTAATTTTCATCAAATTTCTTTTTCCGAGTGAATACATTTAAATCAAAATCATGTCTTCACATAAACAGAGACCTAATTATTTATCACAGTGTATCAGAAACTCTCAGGTGTGGAAAGTTGGCACTGAATGTGTGGTAAAGTTGTTAGCTGCGCTGTTGCTTCTGATTAGATTTTGGTGTTCAGAAGTCAAGTTAATCGTGATGCGATATCTCAAGAACACCTTTTGCCATGTTGAGGACCAGGCTGTCAATCGTATGAATAACAATAGGGGGTGACTTCACCATTACTAGAGCAGCTTGTGCACTGCATTGCACCTTCACAGGTGCAACGGAATATATTGTTCAGACCAATTGATCGACCAAATGAGTCCTCGTGTCTCCCAAGCCGCTCAAGGGCTCCACGTCGGTCACTCTCAGGTATGACAGGACCATTTCGGGGCTTGAATACATTGGAAAACACAACAGCATAGTGCTTCCACCTCAGAATCTGTTTTATGTGGTCGAGAATGTTCCATGGATTTGACTCGTCTGTACATCTTTTATCACACGGGGAAGAGAGAACGTAGAAAAGCAACAAATCATTTGTGTTAACATTTCTTGTTAAGGTGTCAAAGCGCTGCAGAGTGCGGTACTCTGCATGATCAGCTCTACCTTCTCTAACTGCACGAGGGCACTGTCTCTTAACATCAGCCCATGCCATAGACGTTTGACCACACTGTCTCAGAACATCATCCCATTGCACACGTTCATTAGGACACTGATCCAGAACATTGCGCCACCTCAGAACTGTGGCTGCCACCACCCTTGTACCAGCGTACACTTCACATTGTAGAATCGTATTCTTCACTCGGACAGGGTCGTCAGTGACTCCACTGGTGTCGCACGCTGTCCCGTCACTGTTGCATGGGATGCTTACAGCCAGACTGAACATGGGGACTCTTCTGTCAATGGAAACAGACACACAGACACATCATTTTGAACAGTATATTAATACAGTATTGAAATCAAATTAAACTGTAGACTTCAGTCACATATTTCTGAGGTACTACTATTTTATAACCTTTGGAACAGCAAATATAGAACCGGATGCTGCCATGTTTAGATCACAACAATTAACACAACTTCAGCCAGTCTGTTCTAAATGAATATTCCACAATTGGTCTTTTTCCGTAATAAAGTTTTTAAGTTTGAACGAGGTTCAGCAGGACGTTACGTGTGACAGCGGCTAGGGTTGCCACACTCCAAGGACTTCCAAGGAATTGTTCTCTGTTTGAGCGACTGCCCCAAAAAATGACTGTTCGTATTCCTTTTTTTGTTTTTGTGTGTGTGTGAAAATGTTCTTCTTATTGAGAACGCCAGAGTTCCAAATAAAACTGGATTCTTCTACTGCTATTCTGTTTTTTCCTCTTTACGTTAAACATCTAATCCCGTGTCTGTAAACAGGTTAAAATACAGCGACGATTGGCCATATACCTTCACTTGTCTTTAATTGGTAGCAGAAATACAAAAGTTTCCCTATCACCATAGCAACTGTTGCATGGGCTGTTGCTGTTGTAGGTAGGCTGTCCAGTCATTTAACATTGTTTTGTGCCATTAGTAGGCTGCTGTATTCCCTGCCTGACTGTGAAAGCTTCATACATCATAACTGGCACGCTGGAGTGCAGAGGTAATTTTATTTTGAAAGCCCCTGACCGGATGTCGCAGTGAGGCTACTCTTGTGTCACTTGCACAAATTTGCAAATATGTCAGAGTAAGCCAGTCAGAGGCAGAGTGAGGCAGAGTGAGGTGGGCCAATCCTTCACCATCCTACAGTAGGATTCCCAGATTAGTGTCTTATGCTAGGGTGATGTTATGTTGGGGTGATGATGATATCTAATGTCAGTTTTGACAATTCAACACGTGCATCAACAACGGTGCAAGGTTTCTGTAGGTTTTTCAACTTTATGATCACTGATGTACTCTGTCGGTGTGTCTGTGTCCATGGCAACCAGTCTCTTTAACCCGTTAAAGACTGAATGGAGATTATATAAGAATAAGAACAAGAATAACTTCAATTATCTGTCAGCTCATCTATATGTCAAAGAATTATAAAGCCTGATGGCTGTTGGTATATAGGATCTTCTGTATCTCTCTGTCCTGCATAGAAGAGAGAAGAGCCGTCCACCACAGTTTTTTTGGTCCATCAAGGTGTTGTGGAGTGGATGATCTGGGTTGTTCATGATGACCTCGAACATCTTCAGTGTGCATCTCTCCACCACCTCCTCCAGTGTGTAAAACCTGACTCCAATCACAGAGCCAGCTCTTTTGACTAGTTTGTCCAGCCGCCTTGCATCTTTGTGTCTGATGCTTCCTCCCCAGCAGGCTGCAGCATAAAACAACACAATAGCCACCACAGACTGATAAAACATCTGCAGCATCTTACTACAGATGTCGAGAGATCTGAGCTTCCTCAAGAAAAAGAGGCGGCTCTGCCCCTCCTCCTTGGCCTGCTCTCTCTCTCTGTTTATCATAAAACTGCTGCTGCACCTGTGACAGAGTCACACACACAATGACAGGCACAAGTGTTAGCTTAACAAGGCTAATGTTACCCTGCGTTTATTAACGGGTTCAACAGCAGAGTGGATTCTGTGTTGTCATGACATTAGCATGATGGATCCTCCCGTCCACCCCACCACCATCACATACAGATTCTAATTCAGTGGGAAGCACTAAATGCCTATAATGTTGGGCTCCAAATTAGAGACGGCGTCACAACTATTTTTGCAATTTTCAGTTGCCTCCACAAGTTCCTTGCAAAAAACCCATAATGTTTCCCGTGTTCAAACGGTCAAACTGCATAATGTCAGTGACCAGCAGAAGACTTCATTGGTCAGGTGTGGCACAGTGCATTCTGGTTGGTTTTCTACCTCTTTGGCACAAGTGACTCATTTCTTTTCCTCCATTTCTCTGGTCATGTAGCACCAAGTTTTAGTATCTGCATATTTCTGTTGCATAGACAGACCATCTTTCTAGCAGTGAAATTCTTCTTTACACAGCATCACTGCTGCACAGGTGTGCTCTGGGATGGTTGCAATGAAAAGCCGCTCTAAAATGTGCAGTTTGATCACACAACACAATGCCGCTGATGTTGCACGTTTTGGTGTGCTGATTGCAGGAATTTCTAAATGAATGTTCATTTCATTACCGTTAGTTGTCCCCAATGTTATTTACGTGAATTTGGTAGTACATGTAACCAGCTTCACAATCACAGACCACATGTAACCACATGAGCACGGGACCTACACATCCAACGTCCAACCTGTAAGTCTGAGGCCAGCTGACGCAACAATTGATTTGCACAACTGAAACAAAGTCTTCTGTGTGCATGAAACATTTTTAGATCTTGAACTGTAACCTGTGAAAAATGGGACCAAACACCAAAGTGCTTCATATGAATATTTGTTCAGCGTAGAATTTATTCTGTTGGTCTCTGGTTCTTGTTTTTATACTCGTCTGGTCCATTTGTTTCTTTTTCTGTCTTTTCTATTACTTTGAGTTTAAGTAACATTTACATCATTATTCACTGACCTTCTACCGTTGTTACCCACGTAGCTTGGTGTATACCTGCCAAAGGAAACAGATACTTATTGTTACTGGTGTGTTTGGTCATTTGATACAGAACAGAAGTTCAGAAAGTTTGACAGATGAAAGGATGCAGTGAACATAGAATGGGCAGAAACAGGCTGAATATTACAGTCACTCAACACAACAGTTTAATATATTCAAATAAATCAAAATAAATCAGGAATGCACCGACAATTTGGCCGATGGTTAATACTGACGCCAGTGTTTGTTGATGTTATTGCTTATTTTGTTTTTGTTGCTTTTTATTCCCCCGTTTGTGCCAGGGAAACAAAATCTACACCCTTTAGTCACTCACACCAAACACCATGTCGCCTTCAAACAGCTGTATTTATTCAAGTTTCTCACCCCAAAAAAACAAAGACAGCTTAAACACCTCATAATGTAACTCAATGCAACCTCTGTTAGGAGTAACTTTCAGCTCCTACCTGCTAACAGCCAACATTAAGTGTTTAAGCCCTTGGTTGCATATTGTGCATATTGCTGACAGTTTCCCCCTCTGGTGGGTGTGGTTTTCAGAGTTTGGCGTGTTGTGCTCTGTCTCTATAGGGTGCATCCTCTGATAGTAGTAGTAAGTTTACTGCGTCCTTTCATCATCGGCATCCCGTATAAGATCTCTCCTCGTCCCAAACACGAGAACACATGCCATCAGTCTTGAGTCCTGCTTTTCAGTCTGTGCATCATTAGCCATGTTTCCATCAGCCTGTTTAGATGCGCATCTAGAAGTATCGCATTGGAAAATTATGATGGAAACGCCAAAATTCAAATTAAAATCCCCTGATTCGCACAAACTAAAATACGCTCGCTATAGCTGGGTTTTGGTTGATTCGAAAAAATGTTGATTAGCAAAACGGGGGATGGAAACAGTTATGTTCGAATTAAGTCTGACGTAGCGCACTTTAACCCCAACTGCTTCCGGTGTTTCCGGTTCACTCACAAGGCAACAACATGGCGGAAAACAACAACACAAGATGTGTGTGGACAGAGGACGAAATAAGAACATTTCTAGCCTTAATAAGGTGGTAATGCATTTACAAGCTGGTTGCCATCCACCAGAAAACGTAGAAAAAGAAGAATGCGAGACTTGTTTAGTTTCCGGTTCTGTGGAAAACTCGCACAAGTTCGTAGTTTTCACCAAAGTCCGTACATTTAATGGAAACACACAGGATTCGTATTTGTTTTAATGCGCATTCCCCAATGATTCAAATCACTTTTGGATGGAAACAAAGCTATTGATGTGACACAACAGAAGAACATCGGCCACTGCAGTTGTCGAGTGTTGTCTCATTTGCCACTTGGCTGATGATGACGATACCGATATGTGGCCGATAACAAGCACATCCCTGATATGAATGTGTTCTATGGGCCCAATTGAGTTTTACTGGCATAAAACAATTTTAAAACCAAATGATTAACTGGTCATCACCTGCCTCTTCTTCCTTTTTTTTAATCAATTCTAAATTAGCATTATGAACACAACTTGATTATGGTTTGTCGTGTTTACTGTTCTTTTTTTTTTATAGAACAACACATTAAGCAGAGTTTTTATCTATAGAAATGATTCATCCAACAGGAGTTAGGAAAATAATGAGGGTGGTGTCTAATGGACCTGCACTTGTATAGACCCTTTCTAGTCATCCCACCACTCAAAGCTCTTTTTACACCCATTCACACACACATTCATGCACTGGCTGCTGAGGCTACCATACAAAGCGTTGTTTTTAACACGCTCCCACAGCATCGGAGACTGAAGGAGCCAGGGATCAATCTGATCTTCCGATTGGTGGACAACCCACTCTACCTCTGAGACACAGCCGCCCGCGAAAAAGTAAACAGCAACATGTAACCAGATAATCTATAAAACACCTTTCAAGAGCAGATATCACAAACGGCCTCACAGCAAAAGACAGAGCGACAGACATGAGTGCAGACATCAAGCTAAACACATGCAAAAATAAAGACTATAAGTAAAAAACATCTAAACAAATGACCCTTGAACTGGTTTTTAAAGGCGTCCACAGTGTTGATGGGTCTGAGGGAATATTGGCTGTATTCGTTCAGTGAACAAGAAGATGATGATGTCGTCCTGCCTGGTATTTATCATGAGTCGACTCACCTGTTCAAAATCTCATATACAATTCCTGCAAGTTGGTTTTGGTCCACAGCAACCGAACTTAAAGCAGACAGCAACAAGCCCAGCGTCACAGCCATCCACCACAGGCCAGCCATCTGAGGGATTTTAACAAACACCATCAGGGATAATAATCATAACAAGGTTACATTACAAGCTCAACACAGGCTCCTTTATCACATGCTACCTGCAAAGTTTCAACATTTAATATTTTGTATGCACATATATATCTAAATATAATATAATAATATAATCCCTTCAGTAGCTCCCTGTTGAGTTGAGGATCCAGTTCAAATATTCTCAGTCTCACTCACAGAGCATTACCCGGTCAGGCTCCTTCTTACGTAGCTGAAATACTTCACCCGTATTCCTCAGCTGGCACTCTTCGATCAAATACATTTGTAATCTGTCCCTCGCACTCGCCTTAAGACACGTGGTGATCGAGCTTTTGCAGCCGAAGCACCTAAATTTTGGAGGGCTCTGCCTGCTCCCTGACAATCTGCTGATTCTGTGGTTTCTTTTCAAAGCCAGCTAAAGACACACCTGGTGTTTGGGTAACTTGTGTGTACCAGAGCTGTACTGTGTCAAATTCTCTGTGTTGCTGTGATGTAGTGTGAATTCATTTCTCTTTTTTCTTGTGTGTGTGCAAACAGTTTTGCTAGTTGTGCACTTTTCACAGCATGGCTCAGACAGTCACTTTGTCTCTGTGATTTCTTCCTTGGTGGATATTGCCCATGTGAAGCACTTTGTGACCTATGTCTGCAAATAGCGCTATATAGATACATTTTACTTCCTTACTCACTTAATATTAAAGGCGCTGTATGTAAGAATGTGGCCAAAATGGTTACTGCACTCAAATTCAGGTTGCTGGACAGCGGCACGCTGGAGACTGATTTGTTTGCCCACAGGCGGCTGCAGTGGCAGGGCCGTGTCACCGCGTCCTTGATGTTCGATTTTCCAGCGGACCGTTCAAGCAAGTCCGGCTTCTCTGCTGCTAACGCTGCTGCCGGGATACAGCGGAGGAGGAGCCAGCTGCTAATGCTATGTACTGGGACACTGCTAACACTGCTTACGGTGCTGCTAACATTTGTTTCTCAAAAAAAAATCAGTCGGGTCGATGACCCACCTGCACATGGGCTACAATGTATGATCGAAAATAAATAACAGTTGAAAGTATTCGAAATGTCCATCCCCGTCTAGCTATGATGCTAGTTAGCCAACTTTGGCTAAAGGTTACCTGTGGAGGAGAAGAGTGGCCACTTTGACATCCGATTTCAAATTCTTCTCCGCTTTCAACTGTCTCCACCGTTCAAAAGCATCTCCTATATAGACCCTCGCTTTGCCTCGAGTTTTGTCTTGGCGTTTTTGGGAATCATAACGAGGTCGTTTGGGTTTAGTCGCAGCGTCAGCCATTGTAGCTCAGTCGTAACTGAAACTGATGCTGAGACTCTACTGACTGTGTGACTGGTAGACGGCGGTGGGTGGCGCAACAGGCCAAAACACAAATTCAAAACATAAACATGATTTGCAGACTGTAAAAAAATTTTTTAATTGTGAATATTCTGGCTGTACTATTGTTGTCGGTGAGATCAGTATGTTATATGAACATTATTCCTTAGTCTCTGTGACATATTAGGAGGATTTTACAACTATTTGCTTTAGATTTCTTACATATAGCTCCTTTAAAGTTTGCCGAAAAGATGTAGCTGAAATTAAAAGTGCTTTAACGTTTAGTTAGTAAACTGTAATGTGGAAGTATCAGTCTTAGAAACGATTATCAAAGTGTTTTACATTTGAATATGTACTAATTTTCTGTAGTACATGACTGACTTGATGCAAAAATGAACTGTCAAGCCCAGTAAGTATACACTCTGTCTCTAACCTGGAGACGCCTGTTGTCTAAAGATGATGTCTGTGAAGCAGCTGACTCGTGACAAACTTTGGAAACAAAGGGGAATTCAGTGTGCCATTATACTGTGTTTGCCACTTGCAGCCACAGAGGCCACTGTTCAGCAGAGAGGTTACATCGCCTCGCCCTAATGGGGCTTAATACCCTTTTCTTAAAACTGAAAAGCTTTTCAAATATTCACAAGATGTCAAAACTAATGAGACTGATGTTTAGGTTTAGTAAAAAAAGACCAGAATCATCTTGAAACAAGCGTTTACTGTGACTACAGTCTTTATTTCCAACTATTTTAAACACATCGTTTGTCAAACAGCAACTTTTGAACACAACTCTGACAAAATCATCTTCCAGAACATCATAAAAACAAGGAAAAGATTATTTTTTGTGCTGGGAGCTGCACTGAAGTCAGTGAGTGTACTTTTTAAATTGTAAAGTCAAGGCAGGAATTTAATACCACTTCGTTTTTTTGATCTTTCTGTCTGACTGTATGTTTTTGATTTGTACTAAATTAAGCCAAGTGAAATCCTTTACCTGCTTTGGTGGCAGAAGATGTCGATCAAATGCTGTTGACTCTTTCCTTCTCGGTGCACGGTGCTGTCACAGTGAATGCAGTCAGAAGGAAGTGACATTTTTATAGAAGAGAGTCAGCATCACACCCTTATTTGACTTTCTGCTGTTTCATCTAGAAACCCACTCTTGCTCAGGGCTACGTTGTGGCATGATTAACACTGGATATAGCATTTGGACATCACAGGGAATGAAGAAGAAAATGTGTGATTTATTTGAGGGGACATCCTTGTTATCATTTGAACAAATCCAGATAAGATATAATCTGCCACTTCTTTAGATACCATTAAATCAGAAAAAACACTTTTCATATTAATGCCGTGATATCACCAGTAGAGCAGTTACTGCTTCAGTGTCCAACATTAAAATGTTTTAAACCA